ATCCTCCTAATAAACAAGTCCTTCTGCTCCCTGAAGCTGCCTAACCTACGATAGGGACCCCCAGGATTGCCCCCCTCAGTCTGCCTTCCCCCTCACTCCATAGAACTCCCCCCCAATCTGGTCCCCCCATTATACAAGACCCCCCAAGACAATGGCTCTCCCATCATAGGGGACCCCAAGGACTATCCCCTACCATAAGCACCTCCCCCAACCTGCCACCTCCCCATAAGGACCCCCTTACAGTCTAGTCCCCCAATATTGGAGAGCCACTTATAACAGTCTGACATCCCCTCAAATGATAAGACACCCTTAGTCTGGATCTCCCAGTGGAAGGGCCCCCTCAGTCTGTCTCCCCCATAATAAGACTGGTCCCTCAGTAACAGACCCCCCCACCCTGGTCTGTTTCATCCAAAGGTGTAGTATAGAGGTGACCCATCCAATGCTGGGGGACACCTCCACCTCCGGGCTTGTCCCCAGTCACCAGGATGAGGGAAGAATATCCCACCCCCCACAATTAAAGAGGGGGACACCTCCAGTCAACCAGGGTGGTTCGGGAAGGGGAAGAGGCAATTGTGGGGACCTCCCCTCCCTCCCACAGATGGATTCCCCCACTTCACGGTAGGCTGCAGTGGCCAGGGCACGGGGAGTATCATGGCAACACCATAGCCCCCATCCCTAAAGAGAGCATACCCCCACATCAGGCTGCAAGAGGGAGCTCAGTACCACAGAATGGAAGCCTCTATAGGCCCCCCCACCACCACCAAAAAAGGCTTGTCTGACCCACTCCTATTTTATATTACGGCCAACACTGTGGTATCTGGGAGCCCAGCTACCTGGGGTTTATGGGGCATCTGGCATGGAAAGGGGGAACCCTGAGAGAAGGGGTTCCCTAGCCCACTGAGGGGGTCTGCAGGCTGGGGAATTGATATTGGGGTTCAATTCCCAACTCTGATACGGACTCCCTGGGCAAGCCCTTGTACCTCTATAAGCCTCAGGTTCCCTATCTGTAAAATGGGGGTGAGCCTTCCTCTACCTCTTCTGTTCAGCTTGCAAAAGCTTTCAGGCAGGGACTGTCTCTCGCTGTGTGTCTCTGCAGCGCCCAGCCCAATGGGCCCCTGATCTCAGTTGGGGATAGGTGCCCTGTAGGCAGGCTCACAGGCAGGCGGGTGCGTTGTGCGTCTGATCAAGTGGGTCCATTGTGAGTGAGTTGCATGTCTGCAATTGTCCAAGTGTGGTTGTTCTGGTGTGTTCCTGGGACTGGGTGGGCTGCATTGTAGGTTGGTCAGGGAGTAGACATGCTATCTGCTATGTCACCAGCTGAGCTGAGATTTCCCCTACGGCCTGTCACTGCTCTGCTCCCCTTCCCCCCACAAGCCTTCATCTGCCAGAACTGTTCCAGCTTCCTGCTGCTAGCATGGGGCATCTGGGGAAGAGATGGTGAGAGCACAGGATCAGAGTGTCCCCTGGCCAACATGGGCCCCAGCTGGCTCTCCTGGAAGAGCCTGACCATACATCTCAGAGATGTTTGAAAATAGGTTTAAGCTGGGGCCAGATTGGAGCTGGCACCCCCTAGAGGTGAAAGGCCCCGTGTCCCATTCCCCACCCCCATAGCCAGCCAGTTCCTCTGGGGGTGGATGGGAGCTTGTGCCCACTAAAGGGGAAAGGCCCCATGTCCCATTCCCAATCCAGCTCAGCATTCCCAGCACAGGGTGAATAACCACAGGGAGTCACTGCCGGCAGCTTCCAGTTTATTCCCCACTGAAGGCTTGGACAAGTCATGGCCGGGAGCTGGGCAGCTCCAGCGCTATCCCTGCAGGGGTTGGGACTAGGGCCGGCTCGTCAGGTGAGGCTGAAGGCCCGAGCTCCCCCAGGAGCGGTCCATCCCCCATGCCCCAGGACACTCCATCCAGTCCTGCCCTGGGCCCTCATGCCGGGCCAGTCTCCTCCTTCAGATAGTCCTTGTATATCCTGCGGATCCTGGCAATGTCCTTTTCGGGCGGCTGCTGCCACTCGTACCAGGGGTACCAGGGTGCCTGGCTCTGCAGGGAGGGGGCGGGGGGCGTCTTGGCCACAGCCTGGTGCTGGTTGGTGTAGTCCTCTCCCTGCAGTGTCACCAAGGGGATGCGGTAGCTCAAGAGCCCTGCGGGGGGGGCGGGGGAGGGAGGAAAGGCAGCTGGTGAGCAAGACAGGGGTCAATCCCCATCCACAGCCCCACTCCCCACAGCCGAGCTCTGCCGGTGCCCCTCAATCCCAACCCGCAGCCCCCTGCTATTCCCACTCGGTCATATCCAGCTCCCTACTCACCATGGTCACGAGCTTGGTCAATCGCCTGGGTCAAGCGTTTATGCTGCTTCATGCAGACGCCTGCAGCGGAAGGAGAGGGTAGCGTGTCTCAGAGGATGAAGAAACTGTGGGGTTTGGGGAGCTGATTCTGGGACAGATTGATCCTGAGGCTCCTTTTCCGTTTCTAAAAGGGACAGGCAGGGCCCCAGGGGACAAAGAGGGTTTCCCAGGTTGGGGCTGGGCTGGATGGGGCATCTCCATCTCCCTGGGAA